GTTATATTGGGGAAATATGCCAGTTTTGAGTAACTTGATAAATTTGAAAGGCAGAAAAGGCAATGTAATTTGTCCTCATTAAGTTCATCCTGAAATTTGCATTACATAGACATGGATAGAGGAATGAGAGAATTCTAAAATATGGTATTAATCTAAGGACCATCTGCTAGTAATTTTCAGTCACTGAGAGGAATATTATAATTTTAGAATAAAATGGCTTTGACCATTGCATTTAATAACCTATATTTATATTTGCATCAGATTTCAAAATGCTTAAGTAGTTTTATGTAGCTAAAGTATGCCCATCTAATATTCTTAAAATAAATGCACATAGTAAAGAATTATTCATGTTATATTATAGAATGTATATTTTAACAGTAGTACAATTATAACTTACAATGCTTCATGGTCTAACCTAAAAATGGATCAGTAAATGCTTCTCTGATAATTAATGGCTCTTTAGAAAGATAACAAAATTACCCAGATTTGGCAGATATATTTCAGACTAGTTGATTAATTTAAGGAAAATTGCAGTAATTATTTCAGTGGCCTGTTTCCTGTGGCATTGTGAGTATATGGCCACTTGCAAAAGAGTTTTTAAAAAAATTTTCAGAATAGTCCAGTGATGTTTTAAGTGTTATTTGTGAAATAATAACCACATTGAACAATTCCTTGTATCACAGCAGAAAATATATCCCCCAACGAATCATGTACCATAATGTATCTGATTTAAACTACTACCAGCAAATCAAAGTTAATTATTTTTGATGTACATAAAATAATATTAAAAACTCTTTATCTCATTTGTGTATTTTAAGATATACTTACGGGTTATCCAATAGTAGTACTATGGGATTAAGTTCTTTCTTTGGTCTATAATATGCCCTGAGAGGAACAATAAAATTATACAGTCCATTTCCAGCTGTTTCAGCTGCAACTATAATTAGTTTATTTTTGAATCCATAGGCTTTTGCGTCCTCATAGTAGTTATGCTGGCAACTCTAAGGAAGAAAAGTTATACAAAGAAATGCCATTTTTATACTCCACTAAAATTTGGTGAAAAAACTTAGGATATATAGTAATGTAAAATTAATCTAACCAAGTAAATTCTAATTTTCTAAAAAAATTAAAGGTTGTTAACATTTTTCTGTGCTCAGTTCTCTAACCTGCACTAGAAAATAGAAGTATATGAATGGATAAGGCAAGTGCATTGTGGTGATGTAGCTATACTGAGGGTTATCAATATTTGTACGTGCATGTTCTATTGCAAACTAAAACTTGCTGCTGACATTTGAGTATCTGTATTTAAAAATGTGCTATCTCTGACTTTCAAATAAAGTAATCTTATAATATCATCTTATCTTATAATAAAATAACCTCAGGAATGTTGTTTACAGTAGGAATCCCTAAAGTGATGAATTAAAAAAGAAAATACAACAAAATAGTGAAAGAAAAACCCTGTCAAAATCCATCCCTGACCTGGCAAGATAATGATGCAAATAAGGACGACAACAAAAATAAAGACAAGAACAAAGCATTACTCCAGCTAATTGTTAGCCTGATGGTATTATGCTCTTCCTGAGGTCTAGGATTTGCTGGAGTTAGTATTACTAGGCCAAGATTATTTTAAGCTAAATTATTTGCATGGAGAACTGCTTTCATGTTCTGGTCTTTTATCATTATATGTCTCTCTGTGGATGTTTTAAATTTATTTATTTGGGCTAAGATTAGCTAATTTTCTGGAATATTCATCATCTCTGGAATATTCCTTGCCATTATTCCTTAATTAAAAATTACAAAACACTAGCAGGAACAAGACACCAGGAGTAAACAGAGACAATCAGCACAAGATAATTAGACCTGCAATGACTACAGATTCTGTTATTAGATTTGGAATATAAAATG